GTATGGGAAAGCTGGTGCTTTTATTACCTGAGCCACAAACTTCTACACAGCGTTCTCTAATTGTCATTGTAGCCTGCCATTATGCCGTGCAGCTATAGGAGTCATTTGAAATGTTAATTACACACTAAGTCACAATTTAAGTACTGATTGACATTCATTCGTTTTGCCTTTGATCCTTTAATGAAAGAAGTTTTCAAATTGCGTCGTAAATGGTTTGTTACGTATAGCCGGTCCTGGGTTTCCATATTAGAGCAAACAATTATTTCAGAATCATCTGTAAATTGTGCTATTCAGAAATAAAATCCTTGTACAAACGGGAAGTTAGTTCCCGGTTTATTAAGAGTCCGTATTTGAAATTGAAGGTTTCAACAATCAATCATCCTGTTTAAGGTTTTTGTATTATTGATCGTGATTCGATCATTGAGGTTCCGGAATACTTAGATTCCAGGATTAAAGTCAACCTGTTCTTCAATGACCGCCTCCGTGGTCTAGTGGTAAAGCGTCCGCCCGGAGAGCGGAAGGTCCGGGGTTCGATCCTCGGCTGCGTCATACCATAAGACGTTAAAAGATGATACTTGTCTGGCGCTCGGAATTAAGGGGCTAAAAACAAGGACTGGTCGGCTCGGAATCAGTATACTGTGTCTGACTTGGGGTATTCATGTTAAACTGCGGCATGGTATCTCAGTGAGCTAGCACTATAAATCGGCATCAGTCCGGACTAGTACAAGCAGCCACACAAACACACACGTACATGCACGTCGCTATATAAGTGCAATAATCTTGGACGCGACGTTAAACCCAATTTCACCTCACCTCACCTGTTCTTCAATGAATAGATTCTTTCTGGGAGGAGCGCCAATGGCATAAGTACTGTGCGGCGTCAGGCAACAAATACACACTTACTTTCTATGCAAATTGTGTGAGTGGGTGCTCCCGTGCTTATCCTTTTTTGCGAACACCTGGTGCCACCCATTCCTATGAATTTCCTCTCTATTTTTACTTTTGAGCTTTATATAATATGTTTCGGTGGATATTCGAGATTAATTATTCTCCGGCTTTGACGTGTTATAATGTGAAACCTCGTTAGCTGAAGTCATGGAAGTGTCGAGTTATCAGTATTTGGAGACATGAGATCGTATTGCTGCTGATACAATCGAGTTAGTGAGATGTAACTGTAGTAAAAAAAATGTGTCTGGAATCACCTGGACAAACGTTCAGAAAACAAAGCAATATATGTTGCCAAACCAAGTTCAACTTACGTCATACACACCCGAGAGTGTGTACATCATCATCTTCAGTGTGTACGTGTACGTGTTATTCCGACGATACTGTTGGCGAACTTCTGCTGTCATCACTGATTCAATAAATATTGGCCAAATAATATCACAATGTCTGAATGTCGCATACCTAGGAAATGTTATTATATGATGTATATCTATGATGAACAAGTGAGATAAATTGGGTTACAAAGCTAAGGAATTGTATGTGTAAACTAGATTTGGCGAAGTGTGTTTTTCCAAACGTGTGGAAACAAAACAATATTTTCTAAAAATGTGTCCACAAGGTTTGAGAAACAACTTTCAGAACACATGCCACAATGAACAACTTTCCTCCTCAAAATGCATTATTATGCAAAATTCAATACTTTTATAAATTGTGAAACCTATATGAAACTCATGCCGTCAGTTTAACTAAAAACTGCTCTTTCCAGATTTCTAATAAGCTGTCATGATCGAGAAATCGAACATGAGCAGAATGCAAAATTAATATTCCACGAACTCTACGTAAATGTAAGTTATGCAGCTTAAACTGTGTTGAAACGGAATACCACTATATATTTATCTGACTCGTGTTTGATGACTTAAGACAAACTTATATTAAAACCAGGTTCTCCATCCAAACCATCATAAATTCAACCTCCTTTCATCATCGCAAGATCCTAACACTGTAGTTAATTAATTTATAAGCTGAATACATGTATAATGCTCGTGTTGAAAGACACCTGTTATCCAATGTTTACCATCAGGTCTGTATTATAATTATATTTTGTACTGTACATTGAAATGAGACAGGTGTTTTAGAATGTGGTTTTGGTTGAGTGCTGATTAGTGCCAAACCCCAAATCAATACGCTTTAGCGAGCATCTGCTTCACTAAAAGTCTTACACAACGGGAAAACATCTGCCTGTAAATTGAACGGCAAAATCGGTAGACGACGAACTTGAGAACAACATATAAGACAAACAGTTTCACAAAAGCGTATGACCACTTTCACTTCGCTAACACCTACAATACCTTTTGGTAATAATATAATTTTAACATAGGCTCAAAACTCCAGACCGTTGAAGATCCGGGTTACCAAATGGCTTCAGCAACCTGTGCTTGTCCTAAGAGGCGACTATGCTTAAACTTGTAAGAGGCGACTAACGGGATCGGATGGTCACGCTTGCTGACTTGGTTGATGCATGTCAACGTATCCCAATTGCGTAGATCGATGCTCACGATGTCAATCATTAGATTGTCTGGTCCAGACTCGATTATCTACATACCCTCGTCTTAGAACTTGAATATCGCTGAGTGTAGTGTTAAACAACAAACAAATGAAAAATCTAGACCCGCCAGTCGTTTGTACAGAAGTAATAAGATGACGAGTCCAATATTGGTTCTAAACGGTAGGGCATGTTGGGGAAAGTGCATAGCGAGTTGTTCAAACTGTACTTAATCTAGTTGTCTGTCCTGTTCACCTGGACTCATTACAAGCTGATTTATTAAAGCCAATGCTTCCGTGTCTTGATGGACCTGTCATTCCCAGAACTGACTTTACAGTTACACAAATGAAGATTTTGTCGTGGATGTTTCTGTCTATCCATCTGCCTTCAGAACAACCATAAAACCAGACGTGACCACGTTCCTATTGCAGGAGAGCAACTGATTGATAAATTGTCCTTCAGCTTTATCTTACAAAAGAACAATAAATGACTTTTTAATGTATTAATTGTTTTCAAGGATTTTTTTGTATGTGTTACCAATCAATCAATGAACCAATCGATCAATCGACCAATCAATCAGTCGACCAGTCGACCAAACTCTGCATTCAATATGGTCATAGGCCAATATACATTCCTGAATTAAAACGGTATTGGCATAAAGTAATAATCTGAGCATTTCTAAAGGTATGTGCCTAATGAATTTATTTATTCGCATGGATCATGAATCATAAATTATCATTATCATAGTTCCTAAATATTTGTAAATTAGTAAAACATACTATCTTTCGTACGTCATGACAAACTGGACACATGTAACAATATCAAATACGTAACATTTGTTTATGCATATGAATCAGAATGTCTGCTCGGATTAGCAAAGTCAAAACAGGGTAATTTGGCCAAGAAGTTTAACTTAAATTTCAGGTTTTTCGATGATCTGATATCGTTCAATAACCATCAAATAGTTAATTCCCTTCCACTGATTTACCCACCTGAACTAGAAATATAGGAGACCAGTGAGACCACTTCGTATGCTTCATATTTAGATCTTTTGAGCATAAAGATTCAAAATGACAAAACACTCTCCACAGGACTGTATGACAAGAGGGATGATTTCAACTTAACAAAAGTCAACTTTCCCTTCATGTCGAGCAATATATCTGAAGTTCCAGGCCCTGGTATCTACATTTCACACCTTTTGAGTTACATTCGAACATGCTCTTTCTACCAAGATTTCAAAGAGCTTCCTGCAACTCATTCTCAGAAGCTGTTTGATCAAGGTTACAACATGCAAGGCATTAGTAAAGCTTTCAAACCGTTTTATGGTAGACACGTGGAGGACATTTCAAAATGTCCGGTGACAAAAAAAGGTCGGATACAATTCCCTATTTTGACTTGTACCATATGTTCCCGGTTTTTTTTTAGATGAACATTTGACATGCTTTTGGCTGTGCTTGAGACGGGTGCCAAAGGTCGGACAGGGTTCGCTCACCTTTTCGCGAACACCTGGTATCATCACTATCTGATAATGATTCATACACACATGCTCATGATATGATCGGAAACGTACAATCGACTCTCTTTTCTTATGAATATGGAAAGGGTTTTGTCGCTTATAATTATTTAAATAATAGGATATTTCTTCTCTCTTCTGAGGCTTGGAAAGAGTTTAGTATGAACCCTCAGATCACGTTTGAGTTTCATCTATATTTTGGCACCTCCCAATGCTTTTGTATATTTAATTAAAAGCAGCAAAACCCTTTCCATAATCACAACAATCGACCCTTCCTTCAATCCCCTCATGGCCCCAGCAACTTGAGGATACACCACCATATGTTATTATCCATTGCATTGTTTGTTTATTTTATAAATTATTAATGTTATCATAATTAAAGTTAATGAACCATTTTCGCCCAAAACTCAAGTATCTACAAAATTTATATATAAAACAAGATTTACGATTTATAAATATGAATTGATCTATTACTTTGTAATGGAAAGGCGACTCCCACATTCGTCGACCTCATTTAATTATCCAACCCATCACAAAGCAATGTATACTGAATGTAGGCGTATTTTCGATTGAAATAAAATACAACACTCATCCCTCAGAAAACTTTTTTAAAAGTATTTTTATTTCTCCGACATTGTTCATTTCCGACCCAGTACAATCAGAAGATACCAATCCTAAAGACAATTTCATATACTCTGATTCACGAGACAGTGACTCTTATTTCACCACCATGCGACATGTTCAAATCTAGATACGTTTACAAAGAGTATCATTGGACCACACTTCTAACGTCAGCTGTACCGAAATAGCATCCGACAACGTCAATATAGCTAATGCGACGACGTATTCCTACTTCTAAATTTTAATTGGATGGGTAGAAGCTGTCTGTGTGTACCGCCTGTTTGAACACATTTAGGTTGGTTTGTTTGCTTGTCTATTGTTTCCCTCTCCTATAAAAGACGTATTGCGCGGAGAAATGAACCAGATACTTTGAGTGCTTGCAACGACACTAAGACAGACCTACCGCAACGTCGCCTGTGCGCTTACCTCCACGGAGTGTTTTGTATTGGAGTATAGCTATATTTCAAAGGTGAGTTCTGTTTATTGAATTATGACACTTTGTTAATTTTCTTATATTTTCGTTATCATGTAAGTAATAAGGAATGTCATCGGAATGATGTTTCTTGAATATCGACATGTCATTTAACCACATTACCATGTTCGTATTAGACAGTAGTACCTAAAAGAACTGAGCTAAATGTAACATTTCATTGTACTGACTAAACTTGTACAATATTTCAAACGTATATATACTAAATCAATGAGACTTTTCAGATTTTCTCTGTATTAATAACTGACTAACTGCAGTGAAAGTAGACATTAATAGTGATTAATTTTGATAAAAAGATACAATTGCTAAAGGTACTCGAGTATGTATAAAAGCTTAAAAAATAGTCATTTCGTTGTTGTATATCGAGTTATTAATTGTGTCATGTGGCCCAAACAAGTTGTTCGTAATCGGCATTGCGTTATTATATTGTTTCAGTTTATATTTTGGTTCAGATGTGAGGATGTTCATCCTCCTCAAGAATCACGTTTTGTTTCAAGCATCACACCAGTTCGGCGTAACACTGTGCCGAAAAAATATGTACTCTCTGATCAGATTTAGTAACACCATTTTACCTTTTTCAGGTTTGTAACAAGATGCCTTCAACCGTAGTATTCTGCCTGATGTGCCTCGTCACTCTATCAGTCGCAGCAGAGCCGTTCGAATATTTCAAAGACTTAGGTAAGATTTTCTTAATCGAGATTAAAAATGAATTACGCCGCACATAAATATATATAATATGTACTTCTCAAATGAAGTTACAGAACACCCTACTCCTTCATATTACTATAGGTGATCTGTCATGTCATGCTTTGACAGATTGAATAAATATGACGTAATCGGGTGTCCTTTAACTTCTTTTCAGTAGAATATAGATATGAATACAGGTGGATTCACTTAATGAATGGTACTACCTGAACCTATTCTTGTACCGGGCATCACATCATTTTAATCTTAATTAACTTGTGTACTCTTGTAAAAGAAAGATATGTCAGTTTCTTTCAGATGTCCTTTCTCATGTTCTAAATATTAATGGCCATTCATAATCTCGAATCATAGAACAGGTGGTATTATCATGTTCGACTCATGACCGTACATCGGTATTCCCAAGTGAAATTAGGATCAAAGTCACATAACACTGTTCATTACAATAAACCAGCTGTGCGCTGTATAATTCTTAGTACAACATTAGAATAATTTGTTCGGATGTGAGGGTGTAAGTAACACAACACTGGTCATTAGAATAGTTAACTGTGAGCTGTGTAATTAAAAGTACACCATTTAATTATTATAACTACATTCGGAAGTAAGGTTATCATTTCAAGTAGCAATGAAGCATATACAATAAATATTTAGCGAAAGTTTGTATAATTAGTATGGCTAATGTGCAACTTCCAAAGACATTTAATAAAGTTAGTTACGGATCATATATAAGCTACGACAGTAATGAGATCCGAATGAGAGATGAGATCGTTACAGCATGTTGAGAAGAATGTTCCAAATATGTGTGATTTAAAACGATACGAATATCAAGGAGAAAACTGTGAAGGTTTGGAGCATTACGTTCTTCTGGAACCCCACATTCTTTGCCGTTCTCCAGACCATCGATACTAAAATAATACAAGAACAGTCTACTATTTCCCGTTGTGCGTGTCTGACGCAACAGAGTTCAAAGAAGGCGATCAGAGACTTTCCCAATAGGTCTGCTGCAGGGAGGTGCTATTTTCCCTCCCTTGTTCATATAAACTCTCTACGTCTCGTCTCACCTGAAGACCAGGCAACCCAGGTGTACCCTGGCGAGCGAGTACACGGCAAACAGCGTTAATAAGGATGTGTACACAGCGATCTGTACTCACAGCGCTAGTTAGTTAAGTCGCAGATGCGTCAGTTAACATCATGGAGTATTTGATGGTTGCGTGTCTCAAATGGCAATGATGTGTTAAACATGGCTGTTTTGTTAATGTGTGTGTTCTTCGTTTGTTGATCTCTTCGGCGTGGATTGTCCCCGAATCTTCCTTTTCCTATGGTTGGGGATGTCCCTCCTCATATGTAATTTACTATCATACCGTAGTAGTAATTTTAAACTTAGTTATATAGACATTGTTGAAGGTAGACTTCGGAAAGTACCTGGCGTCATTCCTCCGCAGAATACAAACTTCTGTTGGAACAAGGATGAAATAGTGTAAACTAAACAAACAAACGCTTAGTTTTGAATGTAAATAATGTGAGTGGCGGGTGCTGTCGGTATGGCTGGGCATGTTCACCTTTTCGCGAACACCTGGTGTCATCACTTATTTTTTTCAATGATCCGTTCACATGGTATTCACAGCTATTTTCTCTACCCGATGGAATCTGTTTCTGGAGATAATCAAGATTGATTATTCTCTGGCGTTAATGTTTTATGTTTACGAGAAGTGGTAAAGAAGAGAAATAGACATGTCAACACGTAAAACACAAGAACGTTGCTCTTTGTCTGTATTGGAATGCTAACTGTCGACGGAAGGTATTTTAACGAACTTTAATGCTGTGAACATATGGTACGACCACTAGTACTGTGAACGTTACATGTTCATGGTTGAACGTGTGACATACAAGTAGCCCTGTGGCTGAAGGTCATTTGACCTACCAGGATCCGCTGACCCCGGATTTGAATCTTAGATCCTTCTTGACAATGATTCAATACCAGTGTTCGAGGGTTCCGCCAAGCTTCTCAAGTTGTAAGACCTATGTCACTGCCCCCCCCCCCCCCCCCCCCCCTCCCCCAAAAAAACAAAACAGTCCCACCCCCCACTCCTCACCACTCCACCCCCACCACACCACACCCTGGACATCATGCTGTCAATTTTAACTGTTGTTTTTCTCTTCCAGTTTGCAAGAACTTCCGATGCGGCGACGACATATGTTTAAAACAGAAAATGTGGTGTGATATGTGTTCCTGTTCCGATGCATGCTCGGTAAGCTATCTCACATTGTATTGTGCGGATCCTGGCACACGCCTGAGGGACGCAACTCTGTAGATTAACGTAGCGGCGCCTCGAACGACAAGACAACCCGTCATAATTTAAGAAGTAACCTTTGTCAATAAACACGTAAATCTAGTTTATTTGGCTTGGATTATTTCACTTTTTATGACAGAGGTTTCAATTCAGGGATATCATCCCGAAGAAATGTCGTATTTCATTTCAACAATTTGGTTCTTTTTTCAGAAGGTCAAATGTGGATCTGGTCAAGTGTGCAAGACGGTCAAGTCGCGAGGCTGGTTCGCTAGATCAGTAGCAACATGTGTTGACAGCACTGATGGTGAGTGAAGGATGCGAGTAGTAAGTGAGTGAGTGAGTGAGTTGAGTTTAACGCCACTTTTAACAACATTCCAGTTGTACGGTGTGTCAGCTTATTGTAGAAGGAAAGCCCGAAGCGATGCATGTCTCAGACGTTTGCCACTTTGCTGAAACTCACGAGGACGGAAAGGGTGCTGACACACCTAGAAACATAATGTGGGCCGAACCGGGTTTGGAACTCACTATCATAGGTTCCTGGCGTACCCAAGGCACGTAACTCTGCACTCACTGCACTCAGTGAGTGAAGCGCTGACGACATACCGCTCATCATAAGACAAATGATCATTGTACCAATAACACCCCCACATATGATTATCTAGATGCATCAAAATGGGTCGGGTGGTAAGGCTTGGTGATATCAACCATTGTTTTGTCAGGTCCAAACTAGATTACGTACGTTATATAACTTGATTTCTGCTGAATGCAGCCTCAAACAGCAAATTAACAAACCTATATCCCACTGTCAGATCCAAACAGTGGCTGTTAACATTTTCTGAAACCAACATAGAGGAAATATAAGTATGCTTTACCTAGCATTTGTAAATAATAATGATAAATAATATATAACTTGTAGCTCAAAGGAAAATCGAAGCAACAACAACTAGAAGACCTACGACCACGTCTACAACAACTACAACCACCCCGCCAGCAACCATCTTCCAAAGGAGCAGCGATATCTGCAACAACGGACGTCCCTGCACGTCAGATGCCGCTTGCGACTTCGGCGACTCCTGCCTACTAACCCCGCAGGAGGTGACCGGCACGTGCTGCAAGAAGGAAATTGTCAACCTGAGGCCACGTGAGTATTGTCTATTTACACTACTAATTAACTATTTAACGCATTTGCTATTCGCGTGCCTTTTCAAGAGCCATGGCGTTGATGTGGGTGAAATAGTAACGCAAGCAAAAAATAATGATAATGCGATTTGAAGTAACATACAAGTTGTTTCTCAATATAAACATCCCACGAAGTTAATATATACACAGAAGAGCACATGACAATATACTTCTTAGTCGATTTTATCATGTGTTATATATTCAGTTGAAAATATCTGAAGTTATCTATATCATATTAAAACATAAACTACACTGGCGCTTAGTCAGCAGTGAAAGAACATTTTAATTTTCTATATGGTTATGTTTAAAAAAAAATATAATCTGATTTAAAACTTTTATAAATAAAAAAAAAAATACATTTGCATAATACACAACTGCTGAAGGGTAGCTAATTATCTTATCTTTGATAATCAATATAAATACAGTGCTTTTTCGGCACAAATGTACAACATTTCAAACATCGTAGGGGTTGTGTTGTTGCTAATTTAGTTCTCACCCCAGTCTTCATTGAACAAATTTAATTTTACACAAAATTACCCAGCCATAGATTATTTTTTACAAACTGTTGCAGGAATGAGTGATGGTCAAATAGACATAATCAAATTCAACAGTCGTGATTAACGGAGTGGCCAGATGTCGTAAACGTTGTGATGATTAGTGAACAGACTGACGTCTGTCAGGCACTCTTATATCTCGGAATATGCTCAACACGAAGTTAGAATTGATATCGGTGTACTTTGATTATATCTTGACACAGTAACCGTTTTTCTGAAATATTACACAAGCTGGAGAATTGTTTGAATTACAAAAGTGCTAAATCGGCTCTTATGGAAACGAGCGTAAAACTTCCATCTTAAGAAGACAGAGTATTAAGCTGGGGGCACGGGTGGCCCAGTCGTCTAAGGCGCCGCGATTCGCTGTACAGAGTTGCGTCGCTTGGGCACGCCAGAAACCTATGATTGTGGGTTCGAATCCCGGTTGGGCCCGATTATGTTTCTAGGTTTCCCAGCACCATGTCCGTGCTCGTGTGTTTCTCCGAAGTGGTAAACGTCTTGGATCTGCAACTCTTCGGGCTTTCCTCCCACATTAAGCTGACACGCCGTGGTATAACTGAAATAAAGTTAAAAGCGGAGTTAAACCCAACTCACTCACTCACCATAAACGTACTTGATTACATAGTGTATGCTATTTGGTTGCAGGGTGCCGGGAGGCAATGAGGACTGGGCCATGCAGGGCTGGCTTCCAGAAGTACTTCTACAATGTCACCTCCTCCAAGTGCCAGGGCTTCTTTTACGGAGGGTGCGACCCCAGCGAGAACAACTTCGACTCGATGGAGGGATGTCAACAAGAATGTGGTTAGTATTTATAGAATGTTTTGCATTGGTTTTATTGCATAACACGATCTTCTAGATGTTATATACCGCGAATCTTCATTCACTCGAATTATAGACAATGTTACGATATGACCATGGTAGTGTGTTTGTGTGTTTAAGCCGCACTCAGCAAAATTTATTTATTTATTTATTTATTTATTTATTTATTTATTTATTTATTTATTTATTTATTTATTTATTTATTTATTTATTTATTTATTTATTTATTTATTTATTTATTTATTTATTTATTTATTTATTTATTTATTTATTTATTTATTTATTTATTTATTTATCAGAGAATCCATGCCTGCTTCCCCTGGACTCTGGTATCTGCAGAGCCATCCTACGCAACTACTTCTACAACACTACATCTAAGCAGTGCGAGGAGTTCTACTACGGAGGATGCGGAGGGAACGAGAACAACTGGAAGTCACTTGAAGAATGCCAGCAAAGATGCATGTCTGCGTGAAGACCTCGTTGATCAGAAGAACGTTCTTGCCTGCGTCATATGGCATCGTGATCATGTCTCTAGTCCTGGGTTGAACAGATATTGGTGCCAAAGGAACCAGGTGTTCTGAAATAAGACTATTGTCTGTCAGCTTAAAGCTTAAGGACATCTTGTACGTATCATTTTACGAGAAGCCTATAGTTATCAATGTACACACATAATTCGACGAAGAATCAATGTGCTTAAAATCATTATGGACGCATCGAATCGTGTAAAGGTTTCAAAATAACTGTCTGTTCCAATTCAGTTTTGTCAACTTCTACAATTTTTCATTTTGTTTTGAAACCTTTTAAAGGTTTTGGGTTTTTGAATCATGTACATAATGTTTAGTGTAGAATATTAACTTTTATACCGGTGCTAATGTATGAATGTGCGAGAAGGGTTGTTTAAAAAATCATTTTTTTTTAAATATCATGTATCATGTTTCGAAAACTTTGAGAAATGTTTTGTCCATCAACGTAGTTTAAAAACATCCAGATCAAACTGCTGCAAATTGTTCATTACATCCAGTCTACTTTGAAGTAAATACCATTAATGGCTAGCACAATATTGTTTATATGTTTATACATTGATGCTGGCCGTCCAATGTCTGAGTGTGAGCGTTATATTTGACTGAATGGAATATGTCAAATGGGATGTATACCAACTGTTTATATTAAAATGTTGTACAGAAATAAATTGTTGTGAAACCCACGAGAACGGGTATGGTGCTGACGAACCAAGAAACATAAACAGGGCGAACCGGGATTCGAACATAGGATTATAAATGTCTGGCACGCCTGAGGTACGCAACACTGCATATCGAATTGCTGCGCCTTCGATAACTGGGCGACGTGGGATGATTGTCGTAAACATAATGGGGAACTCATCAATTTCGACTTTTTCATGATTCTGATGTACTGATGCATTGATTTTGATGAAAATGAATCCTGTAACCTCAAACAACCTAACGCTGTGCATCATATGCTTGCTAGCCACGACATCAAACCACCTAACACGTTGTAACATGCATGTGTATTATTGCCCCGACCTCAAATCACCTGACACGTTGTAACATCCATGTGTGTTATTGCCCCGACATCAAACCACCCAACACGTTGTAACATCCATGTGTGTCATTGCCCCGACATCAAACCACCCAACACGTTGTAACATCCATGTGTGTCATTGCCCCGACATCAAACTATCCAACACGTTGTAACATCCATGTGTGTGATTGCCCCGACATCAAACCACCCAACACGTTGTAACATCCATGTGTGTGATTGCCCCGACATCAAACCACCCAACACGTTGTAACATCCATGTGTGTGATTGCCCCGACATCAAACCACCCAACACGTTGTAACATCCATGTGTGTTATTGCCCCGACATCAAACCACCCAACACGTTGTAACATCCATGTGTGTCATTGCCCCGACATCAAACTATCCAACACGTTGTAACATCCATGTGTGTGATTGCCCCGACATCAAACCACCCAACACGTTGTAACATCCATGTGTGTGTTTGTCCCGACATCAAACCACCCAACACGTTGTGACATCTATGTGTGTCATTGCCCCGACATCAAACCATCCAACACGTTGTAACATCCATGTGTGTGTTTGTCCCGACATCAAATCACCCAACACGTTGTAACATCTATGTGTGTGATTGCCCCGACATCAAACCACCCAACACGTTGTAACATCCATGTGTGTGTTTGTCCCGACATCAAACCATCCAACACGTTGTAACATCCATGTGTGTGATTGTCCCGACATCAAACCACCTAACACGTTGTGACATCCATGTGTGTAATTGTCCCGACATCAAACCACCTAACACGTTGTAACATCCATGTGTGTGATTGTCCCGACATCAAACCACCCAACACGTTGTAACATCCATGTGTGTCATTGCCCCGACATCAAACCACCCAACACCTTGTGACATCCATGTGTGTTATTGTCCCGACATCAAACCACCTAACACGTTGTAACATCCATATGTGTAATTGTCCCGACATGAAACCACCCAACACGTTGTAACATCCATGTGTGTGATTGCCCCGACATCAAACCACCTAACACGTTGTAACATCCATGTGTGTGATTGTCCCGACATCAAACCACCTAACACGTTGTAACATCCATGTGTGTAATTGTCCCGACATGAAACCACCTAACACGTTGTAACATCCATGTGTGTGATTGCCCCGACATCAAACCACCCAACACGTTGTAACATCCATGTGTGTAATTGTCCCGACATGAAACCACCTAACACGTTGTAACATCCATGTGTGTGATTGCCCCGACATCAAACCACCCAACACGTTGTGACATCCATGTGTGTCATTGCCCCGACATCAAACCACCTAACACGTTGAGACATCCGTGTGTATGATTGCTCCGACATCAAACCATCCAACACGTTGTAACATCCGTGTGTGTGATTGCCCCGACATCAAACCACCTAACACGTTGTAACATCCATGTGTGTAATTGTCCCGACATGAAACCACCTAACACGTTGTAACATCCATGTGTGTGATTGCCCCGACATCAAACCACCCAACACGTTGTAACATCCATGTGTGTAATTGTCCCGACATGAAACCACCTAACACGTTGTAACATCCATGTGTGTGATTGCCCCGACATCAAACCACCCAACACGTTGTGACATCCATGTGTGTCATTGCCCCGACATCAAACCACCTAACACGTTGAGACATCCGTGTGTATGATTGCTCCGACATCAAACCATCCAACACGTTGTAACATCCGTGTGTGTGATTGCCCCGACATCAAACCATCCAACACGTTGTGACATCCATGTGTGTTATTGCCCCGACATCAAACCATCCAACACGTTGTGACATCCATGTGTGTTATTGCCCCGACATCAAACCATCCAACACGTTGTGACATCCATGTGTGTTATTGCCCCGACATCAAACCATCCAACACGTTGTAACATGCATGTGTATTATTGCCCCGACATCAAACCACCTAACACGTTGTAACATCCATGTGTGTTATTGCCCCGACATCAAACCACCTAATACGTTGTAACATCCATGTGTGTGATTGCCCCGACATCAAACCATCCAACACGTTGTAACATCCATGTGTGTCATTGCCCCGACATCAAACCATCCAACACGTTGTAACATCCATGTGTGTGATTGCCCCGACATCAAACCACCAAACACGTTGTAACATCCATGTGTGTCATTGCCCCGACATCAAACCACCCAACACGTTGTAACATCCATGTGTGTGATTGCCCCGACATCAAACCACCCAACACGTTGTGACATCCGTGTGTGTTTTTGCCCCGACATCACACCACCTAATACGTTGTAACATCCATGTGTGTGATTGCCCCGACATCAAACCATCCAACATGTTGTAACATCTATGTGTGTAATTGCCCCGACATCAAACCATCCAACACGTTGTAACATCTATGTGTGTGATTGCCCCGACATCAAACCACCCAACACGTTGTAACATCCATGTGTGTTATTGCCCCGACATCAAACCACCCAACACGTTGTGACATCCATGTGTGTTATTGCCTCGACGTCAAATCACCCAACACGTTGTAACATCCATGTGTGTTATTGCCCCGACATCAAACAATCCAACACGTTGTAACATCCAATTACGAGATTGCCCCGACATCAAACAACTTACACCTGGTAACATCCAATTACGAGATTGCCCCGACATCAAACAACTTACACCTGGTAACATCCATGTACGAGATTGCCCCGACATCAAACAACTTACACCTGGTAACATCCATGTACGAGATTGCCCCGACATCAAACAACTTACTCCTCGTAACATCCATGTTCGAGATTGCCCCGACATCAAACAACTTACTCCTCATAACATCCATGTTCGAGATTGCCCCGACATCAAACAACTTACACCTGGTAACATCCAATTACGAGATTGCCCCGACATCAAACAACTTACACCTGGTAACATCCATGTACGAGATTGCCCCGACATCAAACAACGTACACCTGGTAACATCCATGTACGAGATTGCCCCGACATCAAACAACTTACACCTGGTAACATCCAATTACGAGATTGCCCCGACATCAAACAACTTACTCCTCGTAACATCCATGTACGAGATTGCCCCGACATCAAACAACTTACACCTGGTAACATCCATGTACGAGATTGCCCCGACATCAAACAACTTACACCTGGTAACATCCATGTACGAGATTGCCCCGACATCAAACAACTTACACCTGGTAACATCCATGTACGAGATTGCCCCGACATCAAACAACTTACACCTGGTAACATCCATGTACGAGATTGCCCCGACATCAAACAACTTACACCTGGTAACATCCATGTTCGAGATTGCCCCGACATCAAACAACTTACACCTGGTAACATCCATGTACGAGATTGCCCCGATATCAAACAACTTACTCCTCGTAACATCCATGTACGAGATTGCCCCGACATCAAACAACTTACACCTGGTAACATCCATGTACGAGATTGCCCCGACATCAAACAACTTACACCTGGTAACATCCATGTACGAGATTGCCCCGACATCAAACAACTTACACCTGGTAACATCCATGTACGAGATTGCCCCGACATCAAACAACTTACACCTGGTAACATCCATGTACGAGATTGCCCCGACATCAAACAACTTACACCTGGTAACATCCATGTACGAGATTGCCCCGACATCAAACAACTTACACCTGGTAACATCCATGTACGAGATTGCCCCGACATCAAACAACTTACACCTGGTAACATCCATGTACGAGATTGCCCCGACATCAAACAACTTACACCTGGTAACATCCATGTTCGAGATTGCCCCGACATCAATGATCATAACACGTTATAACATGGCTGTGGGTGATTAACCCGACATCAAACCTGACACGTTGTAACATCACTGACAGAAATTGTTTCCTAACTTAGTAAATTTCTCTGTCCACTCAGACACTAACATTATATTATACGTTACTAATCAGTCAGTGTGTTTATTGTCACTAACTGAAACAGGTTAAGCAGTAATCAGATATACTTTCATTGTCTGCTTCCCGTAGGAGCGAAATGCTATTTAGCATACAACAACACATTGATGAAGAAAAAACATTTTAAACCTGCATTCCTTTGATAAGTAGTCTGTCACTCTGCCACCCGTGCTATGGAGACTGCTGTCGTCATAAATATCAGTATTCCTAGTCGCCATATGCATTAAATACGTGTTAAATATGTACCTGCCTAATCTGCACATCTAATTTCACTATATATATATTATACATCTAATCCATATTTGACTTATAGCCTGATAATATGCACTTTATTAAATATAGTTACTGTAGTATTCCACTTCTAAACATGTTATGAGGTGTTTAAATTCTAAACATGTTCAGGGGTGTTTAAATTCTAAACATGTTTAAAGGTGTTTACATTCTAAACATGTTTTGATTATGGGGATGTTGTGTTTAGAAGGTGTTTAGGTTAAGATGTGATAGATCATTTCATGTGTTTAGACCCTAAAAGTGTTTGGATACAACACACCAAATGTGTATACGGCTTAGGATTGAAACACAGTCCTAACTTCGCCTGGTATCTGTTTACATTCTTAACACTTTGTTTTTACAGTTTGATTAAAGTAGTGAATTGTACTCATTTTAATGAGTGATATTTACTGATCGTCAGCACCTTCGTGCAATCTACCGTGCACGATAGTAAATTCGTTGTTTACTAACCTTCTGGCGGCTGTTACTAAATGTGTTCGTAAAATTCACCAGATATTTTTCTCAATGATGCATGTGCGTGATTGCCCCGACTGGTGTTATGGTATGTCCCAGCAATCACAATAGCATTGTTCTGGGGAATTGGTATCATGCCAAGTATTGCATATGCTCAGTCATCGTTCTACCTAACACGTTGTAGGTTCTACTACACCAAATCAGAACCAGTTTGGACAGTGCGGTTTTGGACAGCCTTCAGTGCAGATCGAGAGATATCTGCAGGCTGTGATTGGAGGATATTCTGTAAGATTTTTATGTCTTTCAAATGTACATCCTTCCAGTTATTAAAACTGACCATGTTTTTCTATATTTAGTACTGTATTTTTCAACATGATGACTTATGCTGAATGTGACCACAGCTATTTTCAAGTAGGTGACATTTGGTGCGAAACTGGGGGTGGTGTGTTTAGCTTCCGGTACTGGGAAAAGGAGCTGACTAAGCTAGTCATTTTTATTTTTTTTATTGCTGCTCTAAGGCCAAACTGTGCACACACGTACAGGTAATAGCTGTTGAATGCTTAGTTATTTAAAAAAAATTCATAACGTTACTATAGAAGTCTATGGGAAAACATTTGGTTGTGTGTAACCTGTAGAGTTGTTCGACTGCAAGCTCCGGCGAACATGCCCAATCAGCTGTGCTCTGAGACATAGAGGAGCAAACGGATCTTCTCGGTTGTATGCAAGATAGGCACTTAAACCGTGTTACAGCTAGCATCTGAGTAGACACCAACATCTTGATTAACTAGTCCTTTAGCGGCTGATTTTGCCATTAATGCTAAAGTGCCTTCCGCGATTAGTATTTCCATAACCCCTGGCACAGCCATCAATATTACAAGGGAAATGAACCAGGGATAATCGCAGCTGGCTTATTCGGGATTAAGTGGCAGTAACGACAAATATGGTAATTAAAACCAGACCACATTAACCTTGTATGGTCGAACCGCTACGAGCCATGTCGAGCATCTGTTTCGATTGCTATAATACACCAGAGACCTTCATATCGTGGGGACATTAACCCTTGATGAGAGAGTGGAGGTTGGACGCACTTGTTAACCCTTCCATTAAATCATCTCGACACAATGCTTCGCTTTTAGAATTTTAAACTCGTAGACGGATCTTGTATGTTTTGAATTTGTGAAGCGATTTGTATAGCGTTGGGGGTGGAGCGTTATGCGAAAGAGTTGAGGGTTTCGTGTATCAGGCGATGGAGCTTTCTGAGAGAGAGAGAGAGAGAGAGAGAGAGAGAGAGAGAGAGAGAGAGAGAGAGAGAGAGAGAGAGAGATGGGGGAGATGTAATAAGAATGTTGATTGGAGTTGATTGTGATTGAAAAGTAATAGTGAGTGAGTGAGTATGGTTTTACGCCGCTTTTTGCAATATTCCAGCAATATCACGGCGGGGGACACCAGAAATGGGCTTCACACATTGTACCCATGTCGGGAATCGAACCCGGGTCTTCGGCGTGACAAGCGAACGCTTTAACCACTGGGCTACCCGACCGCCCCTGAAAAGTAATAGAAAGAGGGGAGTTTGGAGAGGGTAGGGTGCTAGTGAATGTTGGACTGGGTGGGTGGAGGTTTCTGTGTTATAGCAGAAGGAGGGTGAGGAAAGAATGTAGTGAGAATGGTTGTTGGGGTTAGAGGAGATTAATAAGAAAAAAAAAGAATGGATGGTTGGACCAGGGTTGGGGTGGTCATGTAACATCCATGTGTGTAATTGCCCCGACATCAAACCATCCAACACGTTGTAACATCTATGTGTGTGATTGCCCCGACATGGTGGCGGTTTCTGAGTAAGAGAAAGAAGGGGGAGGGTGCGGAAGGGATGTAGTGAGGGTCGTTGTTGGACTGAGTGGGTTGAGGTTTCTGTGAGAGAAAGAAGGACGGGGAGAGAGGGGGAGTTGTGTAGCGAGGATGCTTGTTGGAGTGAGTGCTGCATATTTCTGTGAGAGAAAGGAGGTCGGGGAGGGTGGGGAAGGGTTGTCGTGAGGGTGCTTGTTGGAGTGAGTGTTGGATGTTTCTATGAGAGAAAGGAGGACGGGAAGAGTGGGGAAGTTGTGTGGCGAGGATGGTTGTTGGACTGAGTGCTGGATGTTTCTGTGAGAGAGAGAAAGGACGGCTAGGGTGGGGAAGGGTTGTCGTGAGGGCGGTTGTTGGACTGAGAGGTAGCAGTTTCTGTGAGAGAAAAGAGGACGGGAAGGGCGGGGAAAGGTTGTCGTGAGAATAGTTGTTGGACTAAGTGCTGGATGTTTCTATGAGAGAAAGAAGGACGGGAAGAGTGGGGAAGGGTTGTCGTGAGGATGCTTGTTGAAGTGAGTGTTGGATGTTTCTATGAGAGAAAGGAGGACTGGAAGGGCGGGGAAGGGTTGTCGTGAGAATAGTTGTTGGACTAAGTGCTGGATGTTTCTATGAGAGAAAGGAGGACGGGAAGAGTAGGGAAGTTGTGTGGCGAGGATGGTTGTTGGACTGAGTGCTGGATGTTTCTGTGAGAGAGAGAAAGGACGGCTAGGGTGGGAAGGGTTGTCGTGAGGGCGGTTGTTGGACTGAGAGGTAGCGGTTTCTGTGAGAGAAAGGAGGACGGGAAGGGCGGGGAAGGGTTGTCGTGAGAATGGTTGTTGGACTAAGTGCTGGATGTTTCTATGAGAGAAAGGAGGACGGGAAGAGTGGGGAAGTTGTGTGGCGAGGATGGTTGTTGGATTGAGTGCTGGATGTTTCTATGGGAGAGGGAAAGGACGGCTAGGGTGGGGAAGGGTTGTCGTGAGAATGCTTGTTGGAGTGAGTGCTGGATGTTTCTGTGAGAGAAAGGAGGACGGGGAGGGTGGGGAAGGGTTGTCGTGAGGATGCTTGTTGGAGTGAGTGCTGGATGTTTCTGTAAGAGAAGGAGGACGGCTAGGGTGGGGAAGGGTTGTCGTGAGGATGCTTGTTGGAGTGAGTGCTGGATGTTTCTGTGAGAGAAAGGAGGACGGGGAGGGTGGGGAAGGGTTGTCGTGAGGATGCTTGTTGGAGTGAGTGCTGGATGTTTCTGTGAGAGAAAGGAGGACGGGGAGGGTGGGGAAGGGTTGTCGTGAGGATGCTTGTTGGAGTGAGTGCTGGATGTTTCTGTAAGAGAAGGAGGACGGCTAGGGTGGGGAAGGGTTGTCGTGAGGATGCTTGTTGAAGTGAGTGCTGGATGTTTCTGTGAGAGAAAGGAGGACGGGGAGGGTGGGGAAGGGTTGTCGTGAGGATGCTTGTTGGAGTGAGTGCTGGATGTTTCTGTGAGAGAAAGGAGGACGGGGAGGGTGGGGAAGGGTTGTCGTGAGGATGCTTGTTGGAGTGAGTGCTGGATGTTTCTGTAAGAGAAGGAGGACGGCTAGGGTGGGGAAGGGTTGTCGTGAGGATGCTTGTTGGAGTGAGTGCTGGATGTTTCTGTGAGAGAAAGGAGGACGGGGAGGGTGGGGAAGGGTTGTCGTGAGGATGCTTGTTGGAGTGAGTGCTGGATGTTTCTGTAAGAGAAGGAGGACGGCTAGGGTGGGGAAGGGTTGTCGTGAGGATGCTTGTTGGAGTGAGTGCTGGATGTTTCTGTGAGAGAAAGGAGGACGGGGAGGGTGGGGAAGGGTTGTCGTGAGGATGCTTGTTGGAGTGAGTGCTGGATGTTTCTGTAAGAGAAGGAGGACGGCTAGGGTGGGGAAGGGTTGTCGTGAGGATGCTTGTTGGAGTGAGTGCTGGATGTTTCTGTGAGAGAAAGGAGGACGGGGAGGGTGGGGAAGGGTTGTCGTGAGGATGCTTGTTGGAGTGAGTGCTGGATGTTTCTGTGAGAGAAAGGAGGACGGGGAGGGTGGGGAAGGGTTGTCGTGAGGATGCTTGTTGGAGTGAGTGCTGGATGTTTCTGTGAGAGAAAGGAGGACGGGGAGGGTGGGGAAGGGTTGTCGTGAGGATGCTTGTTGGAGTGAGTGCTGGATGTTTCTGTGAGAGAAAGGAGGACGGGGAGGGTGGGGAAGGGTTGTCGTGAGGATGCTTGTTGGAGTGAGTGCTGGATGTTTCTGTGAGAGAAAGGAGGACGGGGAGGGTGGGGAAGGGTTGTCGTGAGGATGCTTGTTGGAGTGAGTGCTGGATGTTTCTGTGAGAGAAAGGAGGACGGGGAGGGTGGGGAAGGGTTGTCGTGAGGATGCTTGTTGGAGTGAGTGCTGGATGTTTCTGTAAGAGAAGGAGGACGGCTAGGGTGGGGAAGGGTTGTCGTGAGGATGCTTGTTGGAGTGAGTGCTGGATGTTTCTGTGAGAGAAAGGAGGACGGGGAGGGTGGGGAAGGGTTGTCGTGAGGATGCTTGTTGGAGTGAGTGCTGGATGTTTCTGTGAGAGAAAGGAGGACGGGGAGGGTGGGGAAGGGTTGTCGTGAGGATGCTTGTTGGAGTGAGTGCTGGATGTTTCTGTGAGAGAAAGGAGGACGGGGAGGGTGGGGAAGGGTTGTCGTGAGGATGCTTGTTGGAGTGAGTGCTGGATGTTTCTGTGAGAGAAAGGAGGACGGGGAGGGTGGGGAAGGGTTGTCGTGAGGATGCTTGTTGGAGTGAGTGCTGGATGTTTCTGTAAGAGAAGGAGGACGGCTAGGGTGGGGAAGGGTTGTCGTGAGGATGCTTGTTGGAGTGAGTGCTGGATGTTTCTGTGAGAGAAAGGAGGACGGGGAGGGTGGGGAAGGGTTGTCGTGAGGATGCTTGTTGGAGTGAGTGCTGGATGTTTCTGTAAGAGAAGGAGGACGGCTAGGGTGGGGAAGGGTTGTCGTGAGGATGCTTGTTGGAGTGAGTGCTGGATGTTTCTGTGAGAGAAAGGAGGACGGGGAGGGTGGGGAAGGGTTGTCGTGAGGATGCTTGTTGGAGTGAGTGCTGGATGTTTCTGTAAGAGAAGGAGGACGGCTAGGGTGGGGAAGGGTTGTCGTGAGGATGCTTGTTGGAGTGAGTGCTGGATGTTTCTGTGAGAGAAAGGAGGACGGGGAGGGTGGGGAAGGGTTGTCGTGAGGATGCTTGTTGGAGTGAGTGCTGGATGTTTCTGTAAGAGAAGGAGGACGGCTAGGGTGGGGAAGGGTTGTCGTGAGGATGCTTGTTGAAGTGAGTGCTGGATGTTTCTGTGAGAGAAAGGAGGACGGGGAGGGTGGGGAAGGGTTGTCGTGAGGATGCTTGTTGGAGTGAGTGCTGGATGTTTCTGTGAGAGAAAGGAGGACGGGGAGGGTGGGGAAGGGTTGTCGTGAGGATGCTTGTTGGAGTGAGTGCTGGATGTTTCTGTGAGAGAAAGGAGGACGGGGAGGGTGGGGAAGGGTTGTCGTGAGGATGCTTGTTGGAGTGAGTGCTGGATGTTTCTGTGAGAGAAAGGAGGACGGGGAGGACGGGGAGGGTGGGGAAGGGTTGTCGTGAGGATGCTTGTTGGAGTGAGTGCTGGATGTTTCTGTAAGAGAAGGAGGACGGCTAGGGTGGGGAAGGGTTGTCGTGAGGATGCTTGTTGAAGTGAGTGCTGGATATTTCTGTGAGAGAAAGGAGGACGGGGAGGGTGGGGAAGGGTTGTCGTGAGGATGCTTGTTGGAGTGAGTGCTGGATGTTTCTATGAGAGAAAGAAGGACGGGAAGAGTGGGGAAGGGTTGTCGTGAGGATGCTTGTTGAAGTGAGTGTTGGATGTTTCTATGAGAGAAAGGAGGACTGGAAGGGCGGGGAAGGGTTGTCGTGAGAATAGTTGTTGGACTAAGTGCTGGATGTTTCTATGAGAGAAAGGAGGACGGGAAGAGTAGGGAAGTTGTGTGGCGAGGATGGTTGTTGGACTGAGTGCTGGATGTTTCTGTGAGAGAGAGAAAGGACGGCTAGGGTTGGAAGGGTTGTCGTGAGGGCGGTTGTTGGACTGAGAGGTAGCGGTTTCTGTGAGAGAAAGGAGGACGGGAAGGGCGGGGAAAGGTTGTCGTGAGAATGATTGTTGGACTAAGTGCTGGATGTTTCTTTGAGAGAAAGGAGGACGGGAAGAGTGGGGAAGTTGTGTAGCGAGGATGGTTGTTGGACTGAGTGCTGGATGTTTCTGTGAGAGAGAAAGGACGGCTAGGGTGGGGAAGGGTTGTCGTGAGGGCGGTTGTTGGACTGAGTCGCTGACAATGTACAGCTTCGCATGTGAGATTACTACATTACTATGAAGGATAAACTTGATTTCTTTGCCTATTTATATGCCATTTTGTCGAAGAACACACGATATAGTTTATCTATACGCAGGCTCGTTGCCGGTTGCGCGAACGCAAAATCCACATGGCTATGCGGCTTACGGAAGATACCACTTTAAAAATGGTGTCAAGCATGAAGGCAAGACATGGAGGAGTATAGAGGATAACTGGTATTTTCTCTTCCTCCTACAAGTTCGCGTTCATATTGATTTTGTTTTGATTTACTGTGCCAACTGTTCAGGCGGCCGCATTAACTAGTAGTTGATGGAATTGAAGTGAAACAGGTTGGCGGTGTCACATTCAGGACAAACAGAAAAGACAGAAAAAGGTCAAAACAGGCTATTTTCTACAAGCTGAGTAAAAACAGATCGACGATATTCTTGTAAAACGACACTTGTTTGCATCATTACTGATTTTTGTTTCGCAGTGGAAGTAGTCCACTGCTTCTTTCAAAAGGTTTTGAGTTGTTTATTCAGAATTGAAAGGTTATTGTTTGCGTATGACTTGATTGGAAAATGCATTTTACGACTGACATACTAGTATGTTACACGATGTGACACACAAGTAAATGGACATTGTCTCATACCGAGAGTCAAGCAACGTTCAGACACATGACGGGTTGTGTTAAAACGGAACGCTAAATTATGCATAATCTATTTGTAGATATTGCAGTTTATTGGTACAATCAGTTGTTAATTGAAATATAAGTGTATTCGAATGGTTGAATGTCCTAATTGTCAGTCTGGACATTGGTTAAATAGTCAATGAGGTTTTACAGTCGGTGGTGGTTGGTGAGAGTGGTATTTTGGTATTTATTCATATACTTGGGAAAGGGTTGGGGGTTGGGGAGGGGAGTCATGCATTGACGAAATGTGGAAGAATGTTGTTATATACGTAAAAGTATTAACTGCCGGACAAAAGAAAGTATACACCCATGCTTGATAGTGGCTAACGATGAAACGGGGGCACGGGTGGCCCAGTCGTCTAAGGCGCCGCGATTCGCTGTGTAGAGTTGCGTCCCTTGGGCACGCCAGAAACCTATGATTGTGCGTTCGAATCCCGGTTCGCCCCAATTATGTTTCTAGGTTTGTCAGCACCATACCCGTGCTCGTGGGTTTCACCGAAGTGGTAAACGTCTGAGACCTGCATCACTTCGGGCTTTCCTCCCACATTAAGCTGACACGCCGCGATATGACTGGAATACCGTTAAAAGCGGCGTTAAACCCAACTCACTCACTCACTAACGACGAAACAAGCAAGGAAAGGTTATTCGATGGTGATGTATGAAATACGGGTATCATAGTTGTGCTTTGGTCTTAGGATTTTAAGCCTAGTAATGTGTTGATATTCGTACTGTTTTGGTCATATCGAGTTTTCAAGTAAATGATATACGCATCAAGTTAGTGTGTACAAAAAAACAAGGGTAATGCAGGTCGTCGGCATTTATGTGGTGAAAACCTAAAGAATGTTTATGGTGCTGATAAACCAAGGATTATAATCAGCCCAAATCTGGGATTCGAGATCAGACTCGGCGAATGCGGGCTCCCCAAAGAGTAGCAATGCATTCTACATAGCAAAATCGACACCTTAGGCCAAGGCATCAATGAGGATAAACGTCTTAAGATACATGACCCTGCGTTTCTCCTCCAAAGGAGGTTACTCTGAATAGCGGATAACAGCGCCTTCGGCAGGAGAACGGTCATCTAACGGTTCCTGCAGACTAATGGTTCTTACAGACTAACGCTACCCACATACTAACGGTTCCTGTAGTTAATTTGACTAATAAAAACCTGACAAAAGCATCATCGCATTTCCTATATTAGCACGAACATGTCGTATACAGTGGTCGCCAATAGTTGCATTCAGCCTTTTTGGACTAACATATGAAATATTCGTCTTGTAAAGGGTTAACGCAATGCTAAATGCACGTGGTTATCCGACGCCCGCGTGGACATGGGTTTAATTGTCGCATCAACCCTCTCACCTTCATCCTGGTTGGGGAGTAATTGTCAATCCCGTAATAGCTTAATGGGCACTTTATGCCTCTTTGACAAGGTCATTGCAACTACAAAACGTTTTCTTAACACAACAATCAACCAACTGAATGAGACACTGCAAAGAATGAAAGTATGTGAAACACAGGCTAACTTCAGTATGGGGTGCACGGTGTCTTACAGCTTTACCAGGAAATTCTCAACCAACTTCACGTCTCGCCAGGTTGAAACCATTACATGCTCATGGAATGAAGTAATGAAACAGAGAGAAGTCTTCGGAATCGGTATATATAAATTGTAAGTATTGTGTTATGTTTTTCTGTAAATAAGTCATCGCTAATGTAATTGTAAAACGTGACACACTGTATTTTCCGCTGTTATGAGGATGCTTTTATTTTAAGCATTTTCGTATGAGGCGTTTTGTTGTGTGATGGGGAGGGGCGTGGTGAAAATGTGTGATGGAGTTCGTAGGATAAGTTTGGACAGTCGGTCTAGTCTCTCTATGATGTACCCAGTGTCAAATTACACTTGTCAAACTTCTTTTAGAGGTCTGGTTTAATGTCTGTATGATATACCCAGTGTCATGTTACACGTGTCAAGCGTCTTTTAGAGGTCTGGTTTAGTGTCTCTATGATATACCCAGTGTCATATTACACGTGTCAAACTTCTTTTAGAGGTCTGGTTTGGTGTCTCTATGATATACCCAGTGTCATATTACACGTGTCAAACTTCCTTTAGAGGTCTGGTTTAGTGTCTCTATGATATACCCAGTGTCATGTTACACGTGTCAAACTTCTTTTAGAGATCTGGTTTGGTGTCTCTATGATATACCCAGTGTCATATTACACGTGTCAAACTTCCTTTAGAGGTCCGGTTTAGTGTCTCTATGATATACCCAGTGTAATGTTACACGTGTCAAGCTTCTTTTAGAGGGCCGGTTTAGTGTCTCAATAATATAGCCAGTGTCATGTCACTCGTGTAAAGCTTCCTTTAGAGGTCCGGTTTAGTGTCTGGATTTAAAACCCAATGTCATATTACACGTGTCAAGCTTCCTTCGAAGGTCAGGTCCACAGTCTCAGTGAAATTGCTAGTGTCATACAACACGTGTCAAGCTTCCTTTAAGAGGTCAGGTCTACAGTCTCAGTGAAATACCCAGTGTCATATTAAACGTGTCAAGCTTCCTTCAGAAGTCAGGCCTAGTGTCTCCATGAAATACCCAGTGTCATGAAACACGTGTCAAGCTTCCTTTAAGAGGTCAGGTCTACAGTCTCAGTGAAATACCTAGTGTCTTATAACACGTGTCAAGCTTCCTTTAAGAGGTCAGGTCTAAAGTCTGGTCTACAGGCTCAGTGAAATACCCAGTGTCATATTAAACGTGTCAAGCTTCCTTTAGCACTCAGGCGTCTCACTGACATACCTTGTGGGATATAGATGTAGCTTCTGCGAGAAAGTCAGGCACTGGTTGAAATGTGTCAAATTATATATCCGCCTGATTTTATGTACTCAAATTTTAGACTAAAAGGCCATGTACTACTTTAATTAACTGTAACTGATATTATCCACGTGTTAATTATCATTTCCCTGATCACTGATGACTGAGTCCGCACTTAGCCATTGGCAATACTTGTCAAAACTGATATTTCCCCAAGATCAGGACCGTGCCACCAAGAGATATCAACGCTACGACTCTCGTAATACCTGGTTCTTGGAAAATCGTCAACCTGTCGTAAACAGTCTGCGATCGAAGGAGACGATCCAGACCTGTCCCCAACTGGTGCAGACCAGCATGTTCCTATACCATTATCGGAAACAGTCGACGATGTGCAAAGAATGACCATGAGCTTGAATTCTGCCTCATGGCGACTTGAAATACAGGATTGTTCCCAGGAAGTATTCTTGAATCTTTTTTGAATGTACATGAGGTGTTTGTTGCAATCAGTCATTCGAAAATTGTGTTCTCAATAAACTGACGGATCTGTAAAGTTTAAATCAGTTGCCACAGCTTGTGTCACCGAAATGATAAGGTGTAATCTGCGATCGTTCGTAACGGGTTTTCGACTGGTTACGATTTATAGGAACCAGGCCTAGTTAAACCGATTTATATCAAAGGGACTTACCATTGTCTTAGCGCTAAGATCGTTTTGTGGAACGGGATCATGATCCAGAAACTCAATTGGTGGGAAGTTCATTATATGAACAAAGGTGAGCGTGTATGGTTGAGAGGTTTTGCGAAACAGGCCATATCGATATAGTTAGAGCGTGGGGCGGGCTTAACGCTTGGTGGCAAACTGAAAGAGCGCAAACAGAACACATCTGACCATCATACAATTGCAGCTTTAAAAAAGTGGGTTCAATTAACATAAATTAAAGAAAATATATTCCTCTGGCTCAAGTTGGCTTATTTTCCCCAGGAAAGAATAAAGAACAGGATACAGGGCACAATGAGACACTAGAACCTAACAGGGCCAAGCTCACGTCTTGCTGAGCAAAGGGTCTGTGATGCCAACTGCAATCGATAACGGTAAATTAAAAATCCACATTCGTCTCCTTCCAAATATACTCCCAATCACGCCTGCTATTTTTGGCAATCTTATGGGATTTCATTACGGTTTTGTTTTAAGGGTAAAACACTTTAAAGTCGTATTTGCACTCAACTATAACGAACGGCCATCGACGCTTTCCAATACTTTGTACTTAGTAATGTGATATTTTCTGTGCGAGAACCTGGTGCTTGTGTATTATTTTTATCAGGGGCTTAGGTACTTTTTTTTATCTTGTGCTGGTGTATTTTTATCACTTAGCGCAAAGGTAGTGTTTTATATCCCGAAGCATGTGTGTGTAGATGTACATGTATGTGATATTGGGTTTTTCAAGTTTATTATTGAAACATGAGAGTTGACGCGTGATTTCTAACAACCAGAAATACATATTATGTCTTTTTCAATTCATAGCCTAGTCTGATGTTAAATCAAGCCAATAGACATTAATGTATACAATTTATTGTCATAAGATCAGAAACGCCGATTCAGAAGTTTTTATTGGTGGTAATAAAACCACCTTCGGGATAATATGCAGATATAGACACGGACAACTACTGATCAATTTCAATGCAATTAATTACGAGTTGAACCTAGCAATAACGTAAGAATGCGTGATGTATGTTGGGCGTGTTGCCAAGGACACCTACCGCTTCTGACACATGGCGACATATACAACACTGGAATGTATTTCTCTTGTTTGACGCTCCAGTATCAAAGAAACACCAAGTCATCTGCGCTGATGGTACCGCCATATTGATTGGATTTACCAACACGTTCGATTGCCTTCTTGGGCGAATCAAACTCTAATCATTTTCCGATGACAAAGGAAAGCTTTTTGAGGATATTGATTTTGACATCGATCACTCATATGACACTGGGAATTTCTGAAGGCACAATACGTCGTATTGCAAAGAGGCAAACACAACTGATTGACATTTGAATAGACATGTGTCGATAGCTCTGTTTACTTCGGCTCCATGGAAGCTGGTTAGCCTTTGATCAAACTAACTGGCTACAATATGTCTTTAAAATGCCTTGTATATTGCAGTGTAGAAAATATCTTGCAGTGATGACCTTTCCCTTTGTTTGCGTCGTTACAGTCCCATAAAGACAGTTTGTCAAGCGTTTACGTTGTGGGAGTGACGACATCATGTACTAACAAAGACCCTTTTTTGCCAAACATTGGGGTGACTCCAAGCAAGTATAACAGTCATACTTGGTCGTAAAGATCCATAAGGGCATCAACAAAGCGTTTGTAAAATATTGTTGATTAAACCGTTTTACTTCACGCACATACAACAGCTGCAAAGAGAATGCTATTATGTCATTTTGTTTTAAACAATTTGAATTCAAAACATATTACGAGTCATATTATTACAAGACGCATCAATTGGAGGTCATCTTACGGAAAATTCCGTACGTTGACGTAACGTCATTTTCACAGTTGTATGTCGAATTACGGTCAGTGAGTTGTTATAAATGCTTTTCTGCAATAGGATGCATCTGCATGTGTATTGCAGACCCTTGAACGTGCAGCGATGAATATATGCATGATATAATGCAATTCCAGAGGCTGCCATCGAGCGGACACTAAACACGTTACCATGCATACAACGCCAACACTGCACACAATTGACAAGTAATGCTAAGGAACAATGACCAAAGTGAATAGTGATGATTGATATGAATATCGCTATATACTGTTAGTTACAACAGCAGAGTGAGAATGCCTCATTTACATATTGATTGGTTCTTGTGCGTATTGCTTTCCACATGAAATAATAGATGACTTTACCACTTGCCAGGCTTCCTAAACCATCAACGTCACGTTGATATGGCCAGGCATAACTCGCCGATTTTGGCACAAATGAGGTATTTTTATTTTAGAAAATCCCAAAGTTAGTTTTATATTGAATTGCTCTTTCATTTGAAAGCCTTCGTGTTGAAAGTTGAGGTTTAATCGTATTCAAAGGAAATTTGAAGAAAACGGAAAAGGGGTGCAAAAACTAAAACATGATTTCTACGTCAATTTCGTTCAACTGCTAATGGTGCTGAAGGGCATATTGTATCAGTTGTTTTGAAACATGAGAAGTGGAACTGCAAGTTCAAAGATGCAGATCAAATTACTCCCCTGATTCTTGAATGTTTTCTGAAATTGAACATATAGGTGGGTAGGATTCAAATATGTTTGATAGTTGATGACTTTTAAGAAAAAGTGTTCAGACGAAACGTTCATGTAGGGATATCTGTCAAGATTTTCGATTTTTAAATATCGAAAATGAAATGAGTAGTTGATTTGTTGATTAGTCTCGTTTTGTCTATTTGTTTTAATAAATATATATGGCAACTTGAAATGTATTAATGTGATGTTTCTTAATCGTTACCATAACTCCTGAAGAAATCTTTGAATATGCTTCAGGGCAAATTTCCCTTCACTCACTCACGATCTTGCTGACATATTAATATATTTAAAACTTCAACGAATCATGCATAGGCTATGCAGGGAATTTAAAACCCTGGATGATTTTTTTAAAGTTGAAGAAATGATCATGTGTTTCAACAAACTTTGGGAAATGGAATGCTGACAGTTGTTTTATCCCAACTATTAAACGAAATGAAATCATATCCTTAAAAATCTGCCACATCACAATCGAGTGTTATGGCTTTAATCCTTTTTTTCGCAATATCCGAGGAATATCGCGTCGGGGAACACCAAGACTATATAAATGCTTGTCACTCAGTAGCCACGATTGGAAT